CCCCACCCCCCAGGTGATCCACATGGCTCAGCAGACCTCTCCTTTCTTGCCCACTGCTCCCCTGTCAGTGTACTTCAATCTGCCTGCTCTGCTCCCCACTGTCTCTGGTGAATCCTCTCATTTCCCCTGCACCTGTGGCCTGTCCCCCAGTTCTATATGCATAAATAAATAATTCTTTAAAAAATAATAATAATAAATAAACATAGTACATTTTCGCCATGGAGAATTTAAATTATACAAGAAGGTAAAAAGAAAAATCACTTAGAATGAAGTGACTGCAACACTTTGGTTGTTTCTTTGCAATCTTATTATCTATAAGGACACACTATAATGTTACATTGACTTCTAGTAGTTTCTTAGCGGTGTCATAGGAGGTAAGGGATTAAAAAGGAGATTGTCCAGGCACCTCAGTAAAGTGCTTTTGAGCATGACAGGGACACAGAAGGGGAAGAACGCCCTGGCCAGGTGAGCACCAAGGTCAAGAGGAACATCACATTTGACCCTGGGGGGGGGGGGGTTAAAAAGGAGCGGAACAGACTTAGAATCGTTGAACTGAGGGCAAAACCCCTCTGGCTGCTCTGGCAACACACTCCACCCTCAAGCCAGCTCCCCCCACCTCCACCCAGCCTGGGTTCTCAAACTTGAGCATGCATAATAACCCCGGGAGGCCTTGTTAAACCAGGGTTCCCGGGTTCCACCCCCAAAGTTTCTGATTCAGTAAGAAGTTCCGAGGTGAGGTTCAAAAATTTGCATGTCTAACAGGTTCCCAGTTGAAGCCAAAGCTGCCGGTCAGGGGACCACACTTTGAGAATCCCTGCTCTACTTAACCACCTCACCTGCTGATAGCGTTTCACAAAAGGACAGACTCGTATTAAATTGGAAATCTTGACAAACAGTTTACAGCTCCCAGGAGGGCTGACCTCCACCTCACCACAAGGGACCACCCAAAACTTGTTTCAGAGACTGGAGGGCAAAATTTACAAGTTCCAGAGCCAGAGCATCTGAAACTTAATAGGAACGCCATGGAGAGCTGAGAACGGAGCTCCTTTAACTTTGAACCACTTAAGACCCACGTTTTTTACTGTGGAATCATCTTGCATCCAAGCAGTGATGGCTCTAAGAATCACAAAGAGCTGCTGAGGAGGACTTTTCTTTAGCACAAGTTTCAGGGAAAGGCAATGCTTTCTACAGTA